AGTGAGACTGTGTAGGGCCCTGTGGGACTCTGGCTCTCATCAGTGAGTGAGGGGAGACTTGGAGGGCTCTGCCCACAGCTGTGATGTGTATTTTACAAGGATTTGTATTTCAAAAGGACCATGTTGGCTACGGTACTGAGACTAAGCTGTGGCAAAGGGCAAGTGTGGAAACAGAGAATCCAGTTAGGAAGCTACTGTAATGATCCAGGTGAGAGGTGTTGGAGGAGGTAAGAAACAGGGAGTTTCTTGAAGGTATGGCCGATAGGATTTCCTGGAGGACTGCCTACAAAGGGTGAGAGAAAGTGGTAAGTCCAAGATTTTTGGCCTGCGTAACTGGAAGGATGAGGTTGACACTGACCAAGACAGGAAAGACTTTGGGAAGATTGGAAGTTCTGTTATGGATGTGGTAAGTGCGAGATGCTGAGACATCAAATTAAAGGAATGGAATAGGCAGGTAGGTATACAAGTCTGGAGTTTAGAACAGAGGTCTGGGCTGGTAACATACAGTCTGTAGTTATTAGAAGACATTTAAGTGACATTTAATGCCAGAAGGCTCAGGATATTTAATGCCAGATACTCAGGAACAGAGTATCCCTGAGATATAGAAGAGGTCTAAGGATCGAGACTGCAGCTCTCCAATGTTAAGAGGATGAGAACGTGAGGGGAAATCAGCAAATGATTCTGATAAGGAAAAGCAAACAAATTAAGAAAGAACAGTGTCCTGGTAGCCAAGTGATGACAGTGATTCAAAGACAAGGGATGATCAGCTGCATCCAATGCTGCAGCTAGATCAAATACAACCGCACCAGGGAACTAACCACTGGATTCAGTAATGTGGAAATCACTGGTGGTCTTGACAAGAGATGTTTTACTGCAGTAATGGGGGAGAGAGCCTGCCTGGTGTGGATTTTAAGAAAGAACGAGAAGACAAGAATTGAAGACAACAGAGAGAGGCAACCCTTTCGAGGAGTTCTGCTGAAATATGAAAGAAGACACCTAAAAGTTCTACGAAATGGAATTTGTCTAGGTTTATAGTGGTAGGAGATATTGCTGACATCTTCCTGGATGATATCAACCAAACTAGCCCAGGGTACTTGTTCACCGTGATCTACATACTTTACTATTTAAAAGTCACACAGACACTTCTCCAGGAGAAAGGGTGATGGGCTGGATTAGCCATTCCTTTAAGCTCCAAAAAGAGCTATTCTTTTGGCGACCCATGGAACACAAGACACAGTTGTTAGCCCTATGCATAAGCATGAAGCCACCTGCAAGGCTGCCCACAACTGCAAAACCATCTCAGTCTGATCATCTTTAACGACAAAGCTATCTTCTTGGACTGCACGGCAGGTACTATTAGGGCCTTATCCTTGAGGTACCGTACCATGCCCTCATCTTCTTGATGAGAGAATTCCAAGGTATGTTACCTCTTCCTGACCCCACTCTACAGTTCTACCATAAATTAAATGCATGTGGAGATGGGACACCTTCTTTAGGAAGTTTTTACAGTGGAACCCTAGCTACTGTATCTAATCTGATTCTCCTTTTTAATGCACTGAAGCATGAGTCACTCTCAACCATAGGCATCTCTAATTAAGAATTTCTGTACTAGAGTAATTACTGTAACTATTTCTGCTAATAAACTCTTCAATCTCTTTGTTTTAGACTGTACTGTTTGTTCACAATTATTCACCCTTGCTTCTCTGTAGGTACAGTATAATTCTGTGTCCCATTATCCTTGGGACAAAGATAGCAATGTGACTTGCTTTGGCCTCTGGAAAGTGAGTAGCCATGACATAAGCCATTTTGAGCAAAAGCCTGAAATATGCTTGTGTGGCTTAGCTCTTTGCCCCCTTTTTGAGCATCTGCCCTCTGCCATGACAACAACATGGCCTACTGGATGCTTCTTCAACCTGGGCTCTGGAATGAGGTAGCATATAGAAGCCCAGAGTCCAGCTAAGCCCAGAAAAGTGGCAGCTGGCCAACATCATCATGTAACATGACCAGGTATAAATGTTTCTGATTTTAAGTCACTGAGAATTTGGGATTGTCTGTTCCTGTAGCAAAAGCTGACTGATACACTCTTATTAGATTGTCAGATTCCTCAAGTAAAAGGACTGTATTTGTTTTTTATGGTATGTCCTCATACCCAGAACAATGCTCTGAAAGTGTGGGCTCCTAATAAGCATGTACATAAGAGGGTAAGAGTCATTATGCCCACTGTAGTTTGGTTGGAAGTTTGAAATAGTTCATAGTTCCTATCACTGACACATTGGCTGCACCATCATATTAAGCTCCTTAAAGTCATGTTCAAAGTTATTCTCACCTTCCTTCTCATTCCTTGATTTTAGTCTACTGAGTTATGGCTGACTGACCAAGAAAACCCAAAGAATTTAGGCTTCACAAAAGGGAAATTGGATCTTGGCCATCATATTCAGTTGAACCTTGAACAATATGAATTGAAATGTGTAGGTCTACTTATAGGCAGACTTTTTTTGGATAAATACAGAACAGTACTGTAAATGTATTTTTTCCTACCATATGATTTTCTTTCTTTTTTTAAAGAATTAATTTATTTATTCAAGAGAGAGCACGCACGAGAGAGTACAGGAGCAGGGTGGGGAGGGGCAGATGGAGCAGGAGGAATAGGCTCCCCACTGAGCAGGGAGCCTGACACGGGGTTCCATCCCAGGACCCTGGGATCATGACCTGAGCTAAAGGCAGGTGCTTAACTGACTGAGCTGCCCAGGTGCCCCTGTATGATTTT